GCTAAGTCCCTCACAACGACAGCTGGTGGTGGAAGAAATAGTTAAGGCTGCACTGCATATCTCTTACGGCATGTCTTGTAAGATGAGCATGTCTGTGTTACATTTTATTCAGCCAAAGGGAAGTGGAAACTGAGCAGCAGAAAGAAGCATCAAATAGTAAATTAGTGCTCTTCACTTTGAAAAGTCGCCTTTTTCTTGTGTGTGTTTTCAGTCCCAGTGGCGTGGCTATAAACAGAGGAAGGCATATCAAATCCGTTTGGATTACTGACGAGCACACAAGGACCAAGAAGTGAAGGTAGCAAATGCTATGTTTGTTTTTGTTTGTTTGTTTGTTTTGTTAACATTTTTGGTGGCAATATTTGTGGAGAAGACTTTTATCTGACCTGCTTTGGGATTCTTTCCTGTAGATTCAGTCACTGGCCAGGATGTATCAAGGCAGAAGGCGTTACAGAGATCACCTGCAATCTTTCAGAGACCACATAAGAGATTGTGAAATGAATTCAGTATCTGACACTTTTTTTTTTTTTACTCTGCCCTTAACAAGTTTAAGTGGCTGACGTTCTACAAGTACAAGCTTTTATCCGAGGAAACAAAGCAGGAGAAGACTACAAAACCCTCAGTAAGTGTGGCCAAAAGAATAAAGCTAATATGCTTTGAATCTCTATTTGCAGAAAAATACTGTTAGTGAGATCTGCAACAGGAAGAGAGCTATGAAAATCAGTTGGGGTGAAGTGGTGCAAAGAGTAGATAGGTAGGCAGGTAGGTGGCTGAAGGAAAAATTCCCTCTGGCTGAGGGAGTGGAATGCGCTGTCAGCAAGTTTGCTGATGACACAAAACTGGGCAGAGTGGCTGACACAGCAAAAGGCTGTGCTGCCTTCCAGCGAGACCTGGAGAGTTGGGTGGGGAGAAACGGAATGAGAAAGAACAAGGGCAGGTGTGGAGTCTTGCATCTGGGCAAGAGCAACCTGAGTACCAGTATAGGTTGGGGGCTGAGCTGTTGGAGAGCAGCGTAGGAGAAAGGGATCGGGGGATCCTGGTGGGCGGTAGGAGCAGCATGAGCCAGCACTGTGCTCTCGTGGCCAAGAGGGCATCGTGGGGTGTATGAGGAAGAGTACGGATAGGAGGTGGAGAGGTGCTCTTTCCCCTCTACTCTGCCCTGATGAGTGGAGCATCTCCCTGTGAGGAAAGGCTGAGAAAGCTGGGTCTCTTTAGCTTGGAGGAGACTGAGGAGTGACCTCGTTGATGTTTATAAATGTGTGAATAGTGAGTGTGAGGAGGACGAAGGCAAGCTCTTCTCAGTGACATCCAGTGATAGGACAAGGGGCAGTGTGTGCAAGCTGGAGCATAGGAGGTCCCACATAAATAAGAGGAAAAACTTCTTCACGGCAAGGGTAACAGAACACTGGGATGGGCTGCCCAAAGAGGTTGTGGGATCTCCTGTGGAGACATTCAGCAGCTACCTGGACATGTTCCTGTGTGCCCTAATCTAGGTGATCCTGCCCCAGCAGGGGGATTGGACGAGGTGCTCTTTGGAGGTCCCTTCCAATTCCTGACATTCTGTGATTCTGTGCAAACTTGGTTCACGGTAGTACTTTTGCTGCTGGGAAATAGGAGCGCTGATCTTTGGGGTAAGTTCAGCAAGGTGGACTCCCCTAAGCTGATACTGACTTCATCCTGTAGCGTTGACTTCTGTCCTGATTTATTCCATGCCAGAAGTTCCGGATGCTGTCAGGAGTTATTCAAGCCCATTGGTGTTAATTTGATCCTGGACTGGCTGCTGCTTGACATGCTGTCTGCACAGAGGTAACGCATGCATTAATTTGTTTCCTGTCCTCTGCTGTTTTGTCTCTTGTTTTTAGTTAATGCTGAAAACCCACCTACGGCTGTGGTTGGGAAATTGGTTCACTTGCTCGATCGGACCCAGATTTTCAGGAGGAGCTGGAGCTAATGAAACTGTGTGAGGAAGCTGTGACCTTGGTCCGATCTAATCAACAGCTTGAAAATGACCTCAATCTCATGGACCTCAAGATTGGACTGCTAGTGAAGAACAGAGTGACACTGTAGGTAGGAAATGCAGTGCTGGGAGACTAGGAGAGTGAATTGAGGCCAATGGCAGTTAGCATGAGGACCTTCTGAGCCTGGATCTCACTTACTCAGATGCAGTGGGAAGTATTTCCCCCAGAGTTACAGGTTTTCCTCCCAGTAAGTTCCTAACTGTTCCACTTATTACTATGTATCCCTAGAAAGAGAACTGCAGCAGAAACATCAAGGCTTCAAGTGTTTTAAAAACAAAGCACCAGAAAAAAACCCACTCGGGACCAAGGGAAAGCAATAGATGGTATGCTTGAAGGCTCTGAGAAGTGTTTGTCTCTTCACTTGTGGTTACGTGAGTCATGGACTTGCACACCTCAATTTCTTCTCACGTTTTGTGTGCTGTATCAGAAGGGGGAGGTGATTTTGGAGCAGGAAATGTGCTCAGGCTGCTTGGTGTTGGTTGGCTGATGGAAGCCCCCTCTGTCACTTTGCTGACGATTGATTGCACACAAGAACAACGTTGCTGATACAGCGGTGCCTTTTTTTAACTCAAGCTGAAGTTACAGTCACCTTTTCCTTTGGTCCTGAATAGCGTGGTGCTAGGCTTGACCTTGTGTAAAATCTGAACCATGGCAGCAGTAAAGTTCAGTTCCAAAGGAGGCTCCAGCTCTTGGGCTGATGCTGGCAGCAAAAAGTATCATAGTTATCAGAGCGGTGGAGGCAGGGAGTCAGCAAAATGGAAACAGGGCTTGGGGCTTCAAGCACAGTTGAGAAAGAAAGGCATTTTCAAGCATCTTCAGAACGCTACCAGCTCTGACAGTAGTCCCTGCTCAAAGCAATTAGTCCTTGTAGGTTCTCAACCAATTCTGGAATGTGGGGACAAGACAGAAATCGCTGCTACAACAGATAATGTTTCACTTCATGATCTCCTGATGTACCTTGACTGCCTTATCCACACAAAAGGAAGTGCTATCGTGCAGCTTTTTCCCATATTGCGTGTTATTTAAATGTGGAATCTGTCCCTCTGTGTTCTTTGCAGGATGTTGTTTCTCATAGCAAAAATCTTAGCAAGGAGAACAAGGAACAGCTCTGTGACGTGATGACGCTGAACGAGCAAAAGGGAGGTTTGAAAGCTTTGAGCAAAGAGGAGAGGGAAAAGCTGGAAGGCTGTCAGCACCTTTTTCTACTTGAGGTATGCAGCTTTTCATTCACTGCTCTTGTCGTAGATGCTTACGTGTATTGGAACAGTCTGTGCTTATGCTCTGCAGTGTTGAGGCGCTGTCTGTCTTTGTGGTGTTGGCTTTTGTGGACACGTGCTGTATGGGAACTGCTGAGTCATGGCCTGAACCTCTGATTGATCACCTGAGGCGAGCAGTGAGTCAGGCAGAGGAGCACAGGTGAAGGCAATGCAGCTGTGCTGCTGGAAGGGGTGCAGCCAGGCTACAGCCCTCCTAGACCTGTTTAAGAGCTGGCTACCAGTGGGGAAGGATCTCGTCTGGAGATCTGCTCTGCTGGAGTTTTGTAAGTGAGCCCAGGATAGGGGTAAGCCTTCTATTTATTCTCCTTTTGTTAGCTTAGTCTGCTTTGTCAAACTCTCTTGTTTATTTCATAATGACAACATCTTAATAGTCATTGATTATACACGTGCACTAAGTACTTTTTCTTCTTGTTTTAGACTACTCCAACGTACTTGGCCAAGCTGCTTTTGCAGATGCCTCAAAACAAACCCGCAGGGTTCATGGATTCAGCCATCTTCACGCTGCATAACTACGCATCCAGTCAGAGAGAGGAATCTCTGCTGTTGCGGCTGTTGCAAACAGCATTGCAGGAAGAGATCAAGTACGTTGTAGCGTAGGACACAGCCTTGCTGTTGCCTGAGTTTGGGCCGCTGCTAAAATTGCAGCTGTTGTTGTGTGATGTCCCGTGCTCATTAGCTGATAATGCTGAACTGTCCCTGCCTTCTGCTCATGCTGTTTCACGTCAGTCCTTTCTGTAACCTGGAAGGAGGAGGAATTACCTTTGTTCTTTAGGATTAAAGCCATTTTTCTTTAGCCAATGCTTTCTTGCTCAGGGAGGCACTATTTTTGATCTGCTGCAGTGCTTTCCTAAGATTCATTCCCATCTAAGTTCTCTGCTGTCTAGTAAGAAGGACTTGGCGCAGACTGCGAGCTTGGGCTTTACAGGCCAGAGTGAAGCTGACGCGAAGGTCACTGTTTTCCAAAACTGATGAGGAGGCTGAAAATCAGATGCTGTCTGGTTTGGGTTTTTTACTGGCTGTCAGGCTTAAGGATTCTGGCTGTCTGTCGGCATAATGGAGTTGATTGGCACTTAGGAGTTTGGTGTTTATGACTTCTGGCTGATACGGAGCTTCACAACTTGCTAGGAATAGCAAATACATATAATGTTGGAGGCAGTCATGCCTTTTTTGATGCTTTTAAGTATGAGGATGGTATGTGCCCTCCAACAGGTAACGTCTAAAAGGTTTGTTTAATTGTTATCTTTTCTTGGAGTAGTAGTTCAGGAAAGTGCATGTATATGCTTTATTCTCTGCTGCTGGATTTCCCATAGCGGCATGCTGTGAATGGCTTTTGTTGCTGATTGCTTACTTGTTGAAATACTGAAAGAAAATAGTTGTGCCTGTGTAGAACTCCCTTTGTTTCCTCTGTATTTTTGAGATGCGCTCTTTCAACCGTGGTGCCCGTGGTCAGAACGCACTGAGGCAGATCTTGGCCCCAGTTGTGAAGGAAATAATTGAGGACGAATCGCTCAACGTCAGAACGGATCCAGTGGATGTTTACAAGTGCTGGGTGAACCAGATGGGATCTCAGAATGGTGAGGCCGGGTATGGAAGCTGTTGCTACTGGTTTTTTCTGAAAGTTGCTCAGCTGCTTTGCATTGCTCTATTAATCGTTCCAAACCATCCCTGGATTCATTGCATGCATCTGTCCAATGGATACCGGCTTTTTTCCATCAGCTCGAGATGGCTTTCTTCTGAAAGGTATAAAGATCATCTTGTGACAGGGGTGTTGAGCCTATTAGAAGTGAATCTCATGAAGAGATAGGCCAAGAAAAGCCCCAAAGCATTTCTTCTGTGTTAACTCATAGATACAGATACCGTAGCTCTTACTCTACCAAGCCAATCTCTGCCCACAACTCGGGCAGGCTGCCCAAGGAGGCTGTGGATGCCCCATCCCTGGAGGCGTTCAAGGCCTGGCTGGATGTGGCTCTGGGCAGCCTGGGCTGGCGGTTGGTGAACCTGCACGCAGCGGGGGGTTGGAACGAGATGAGCATTGTGGTCCTTGTCAACACAGGCCGTGTTCATAGAATCACAGCATGCAGCTGTTCCTGTCTGCCCATGAGAAGGTTTCATCCACGTGGTCATCCTGGTTGGTTGGCCTGTAGATCCCCCGCTACGTCATCTGTCCCTGTCCTCCCTTTAATCTGTGTCTATAAAGTCTTGATGGGCTCCCATCCGTCCCCAGTCAGAGTTCTGTGTTTCTTCCAGTGCTTGATGTTCACCAGATTTTGAGGGTTCTGTTGTTGGTTGTATTTGTTTTGTTTTTAAGGCACTTCAAGGGAAGTGGTGGAAAAGCAATGCTATGAAGTAAAAGACAACTGTCCCAGCGCAGCACGCTGCGTGAGTTACTATCTTAACACTGCAATGTGCAGCTTGTGTTTTCACTGATTTATTTGCGACCTGAGGTACTACTGCGTATCGCAGGTGACCTTCTTGACTCTAGAGAGCGTGTCTGCATGTGGTACAGAAAGATACAGTTCAGAGTTAGCTGGGCCTGTTCTCACAGCGACTGCTGCAGGGACAGCAGAGGACGTGAGAAGTCCTTTGCTCTTTCAGTGCTAGAATTCTAACGAAAGTGAACGTGCAGCTCTTTGCAGCCAGGTGAGCGTGGATCTGTTTGTGTGTCAAGCCAAAAATTCTGCCTGGCACTGACAAAAGTATATTAGGCTGAGGAGTGCTCACCTTCACATCTGACTTTTCCAAATAGCAAGTTGCCGTACGATGTTGCACCTGAACAAGCTCTTAATCACGGTGAGGTGAGGACGCACCTGGATGCCTCAATCCGAGATGTGAAGGCAGTGACAGACAAGTTCCTGTCTGCCATCGTTGTTCAGCTGACCAAATCCCGTAAGTCTGGTGTGTCACCGCGTTATCCTGCAGCAGTTAATAGTGGGTTCATCCGTGAGGAATTCTCACTTGCCTTTTATTTCCTTCGAAGTTACGGGATGCGTTTCATCGCCAAGGTACTGAAAGACTCCCGGCATGACAAGTTTCCTGATGCTGGCGAGGATGAGCTTCTGAAGGTAAGGAGCTGAGCAGCTCTGTGAATAAAGACGCTTTTTTCAGGTTGCTTGTGAGGTTCCTGAATTGCAGTATAAGTTCAGTATTGATGAGTATTTTGGCTTCCTTCCTTGTCTATCCCTTCTGCAGA